GAAAAAAAAAAAAAACCTCACTGAAGGTTGTGAGGGAAACAGTATTAACCTAAGCAACTTTGGAAATGAAAGAACATGTTAAAAGATGAAATGACAACCTACATCCTTGGAGAAAATATTTTCAAACCACGCATCTTAAAAAGGATTAGTACTGGAATTTACAAAAGCTCTAAACTTGACAACAACAACAGCATCGAAAGAATAAAATACTTACAAATAAACTTAACCAACGAGGTGAAAGTTTTATACACTGAAAACTACAAAAAACTGGGGGGCGCCTGGGTGGCTCAGTCGGATAAGCATCTGCCTTCGGCTCAGGTCGTGGACCCGGGGTCCTGGGGTCCTGGTGTCGAGCCACCCGTCTGGCTCCCTACTCAGTGGGCAGTTTGCTTCTCCCTCTGCCTCTCTCCCCGCCACCCACCCCCCCAACCAGCCCGTGCTCTCTCTCGCTCGCTCGCTCACCCTCTCTCAAATAAATAAAAATCTTAAAAAAAGGAAAACTACAAGAAAATGCTGAAGGAAATTTTAAAAGGACATCAATTAATGGAAAGACATTCAATGTTCATTTATGGGAAGACTTGATACTGTTAAGACGGCAATAGTACCCAAAGTGTCCTATAGATTTAATGCAGTACCTGTCAGAACACCAATGACATTTTTTGCAGATATAGAAAAATCCATCTTACAATTCATATGGACTCTCAAGGGACCCCAAACAGTTTGGAAAAGAATGAACAAAGGTGGAGGATTCACACTTCCTAATTTCAAAACTTACTGCAGGGAGCGCCTGGGTGGCTCAGTCGTTAAGCGTCTGCCTTCGGCTCAGGTCATGATCCCAGGGTCCTGGGATCGAGCCCCACATCGGGCTCCCTGCTCTGCGGGAAGCCTGCTTCTCCCTCTCCCACTCCCCCTGCTTGTGTTCCCTCTCTCGATGTCTCTCTGTCAAAATAAATAAATAAAAACTCTTTAAAAAAAATTAAAAAAAAAAAAACTTACTGCAAAGGTACAGTAATCAAAACAGTGTGGCTCTGGCATAAAGACAGACACACAGACCAATGGAATAGAATAGTCAGAAATAAACCTTTGTGCGTGGGGTCAGTTGATTTTGAGCAAGGGTGCCAAGGCCATTCAATGGGAAAAGGACAGTCTCCTCAACAAATGGTGTTGGAAAACCTGGAAGTCCACATGCAAAAGAATGAAGGTAGGCCATGTGGTATATACGTACAGTGGGACACTCTTCAGCCTTAAAAATGAAGGAACTTCTGCAATATGTGACAATATGCATGAACCCTGAGGATAGTATGCTAAGTGAAATAAGCCAGAGGAAAAAAAGACAAGCACTACATGATTCCACTTCTGAGAGGTATCTAAGATAGTTAAATTCATAAAATCAAATTGGAATGGTAATTAACAGGAGGGACTCAGGGGGAGGGGAAAATAGGCAGTTATTAATTACTGGGCAGTTATTAATCCACAGGCATAAAGTTTCAGTTAAGTAAAATGAATAAACTGTAGAGATCTTCCACACAACATTGCACCTAAAGTCACCAATAACGTACAGTTAAAATTTGTTAAGAGGCTAGATCTCATGTTAAGTGTCCTTATGACAATTAAAGCTTTTGTGTAAAACTTGCACTTCATTAAACAGTCTTACTTGCATTGGCAATAAATGCTGAATAAGCATTTATTCAGCACTACTGTGTTCCAGGCACTGTGGATTTCAAAATCTGGTCCCCTCAAGGAGCTCAGAGAGATGGAAGAGATAGTTGAGTAAACAGATTATTCCAAGAGAACACTGAGAGCATTAGGATGGCAATACAACACTTTGAGTACTAGGAAAGCACAGAGATGGAGCATTTAACCCAGCCAGCTCATCAGGAGGCTTACAGAAGTCTTCTTGAGCAGATGGCTTCTGAACTGTATGGAAAGATAAACAGAAACTAGTACAGTGAAAATCATTTCAAGTATAGGGAAGAACATTTTTTAAAGTGCCCAGAAATGAGAGAAAGTATGATGCTTTCAGACAACTGGGATATTCCGTAGGATTCATGGATCATAGGGCGCAAAGATTGGGAAGGGTAGGGGTTGAAGACAGATAAGGCTGAAATCGTAGGAAGGGAGTATATCCTAGAGGACTTTATATTCATGCTAAGAAGTCTGGGCCATCCTGACAGCAAGGGGAGTCATGGACTATTATGGAGCAAAGGAGTGCTTTTGTCCAGTTCTGTGATGATAAAAAATGATTTAATATTATTTTCTTCCATTTTTAGAAGTTCCCATAATGTGAATTTTGAGGTTGTGGAATGAGAGAATTTGGGATATCATACTTTGTTCTACTTGAACATCTGCTATGTTGCCATGCATTATATAAGAAATTTTTCATGTACAGGACCTTATCTAATCTTCCCGATGTTGACAAGGTGTTGTTATTCCTGTTTGACAGATCAGGAAACTGATGTTCAGAGGGGTCAGCAGATGTATCCACAGTTTTAGAGGTGGAAAGTGAAAGGTACGTGATGGAGGCCATCATTCCAGGTGATGTGCTCAGTCTTTCCTTCAACCTTTGCCTCTGCTATCTTCTAGTTCGCCACAACTCTTGTATTCACAAGAGGGGCAATCTGGTGGGAAGCCATAGGAAATAAGGTTGAGGGATACTTTGGTATAAGATAATAGCACTGACACCAATTCAGAAAATAGTGGCTACAAAGAAATAAAAGGTATTCAAATTGGCAAAGAAGAAGTCAAACACTCTCTTTTCGCAGATGACATGATAGATACTTTATGTGGAAACCCAAAAGACTCTACCCCCGAATTACTAGAACTCAAACAGCAATTCAGTAATGTGGCAGGATACAAAATCAATGCACAGAAATCAGTTGCTTTCTTATACACTTACAACGCAACTGTAGAAAGAGAAATTAGAGAAACGATTCCATTTACAATAGCACCAAAAACCATAAGATACCTTGGAATAAACCTAACCAAAGACGTAAAGGATCTATTCTCTAGGAACTACAGAACACTCATGAAAGAAATGGAAGAAGACACAAAAAGATGGAAAAACATTCCATGCTCATGGATCGGAAGAATGAACATTGTTAAAATGTCTATGCTACCCAGAGCAATCTATACCTTCAACGCCATCCCGCTCAAAATTCCAATGACATTTTTCAAAGTGCTGGAACAAACAATCCTGAAATTTGTATGGAGTCAGAAAAGACCCCGAATCGCCAGGGAAATACTGAAAAAGAAAAACAAAGTTGGGGGCATCACGTTGCCCGATTTCAAGCTGTATTACAAAGCTGTGATCACCAAGACAGCAGGGTACTGGCACAAAAACAGACATATAGACCAATGGAACAGAACAGAGAACCCAGATATGGACCCTCAACTCTATGGTCAAATAATCTTCGACAAAGCAGGAAAAAAGATGCAATGGAAAAAAAGATAGTCTCTTCAATAAATGGTGCTGGGAAAACTGGGCAGCCACATGCAGAAGAATGAAACTCGACCATTCCCTAACACCATACACAAAAATAAACTCAAAATGGATGAAAGACCTCAATGTGAGACAGGAATCCATCCAAATCCTAGAGGAGAACATAGGCAGTATCAGCCACAGCAACTTCTTTCAAGATACATCTTGATACAAGATACATCAAGATACATCAAGATACAAGATACATCTCCAAAAGCTAGTGAAACAAAAGCAAAAATGAATTTCTGGGACTTCATCAAGATAAAAAGCTTCTGCACAGCAAAGGAAACAGTCAACAAAACAAAGAGGCAACCCACAGAATGGGAGAAGATATTTGCAAATGACACTACAGATAAAGGGCTTGTATCCAAGATCTATAAAGAACTTCTCAAACTCAACACCCAAAAAACAAATAATCAAGTCAAAAAATGGCGAGAAGATATGAAAAGACACTTCTCTGAAGAAGACATACAAATGGCTAACAGACACATGAAAAAATGTTCATCATCATTAGCCATCAGGGAAATGCAAATCAAAACCACATTGAGATACCACCTTACACCAGTTAGAATGGCAAAACTGGACAGGGCAAGAAACAACAAATGTTGGAGAGGCTGTGGAGAAAGGGGAGCCCTATTACACTTTGGTGGGAATGCAAGTTGGTACGGCCACTTTGGAAAACAGTGTGGAGGTGCCTCAAAAACTTAAAAATAGAGCTACCCTATGACCCAGCAATTGCACTCCTGGTTATTTACCCCAAAGACACAGATGTAGTGAAAAGAAGGGCCATCTGCACCCCAATGTTCATAGCAGCAATGTCCGCAATAGCCGAACTGTGGAAAGAGCCGAGATGCCCTTCAACAGACGAATGGATAAAGAAGATGTGGTCCATATATACGATGGAATATTACTCAGCCATCAGAAAGGATGAATACCCACCATTTGCATCAACATGGACGGGACTGGAGGAGATTATGCTAAGTGAAGTAAGTCAAGCAGAGAAAGTCAATTATCATACGGTTTCACTTCTTGTGGAACATAAGGAGTAGCATGGAGGACATTAGGAGAAGGAAGGGAAAAATGAAGGGGGTGGAAATCGGTGGGAGAGACGAAACCATGAGAGACTATGGACTCTGAGAAACAAACAGGGTTTTTTTTGGGGGGGGGGGGTAAGGGGGATTGGTTAGCCCGGTGATGGGTATTAAGGAGGGCACGTACTGCATGGAGCCCTGGGTGTTATACGAAAGCAATGGATCGTGGATCACCACATCAAAAACCAATGATGTATTGTATGGTGACTAACATAACATAATATAATTTAAAAAAAAAAGAAAGAAAATAGTGGCTACAAATCCTGGGCTGCAGGGGTGGTTTCAATATCTGCAATTCAATCAACACGATACCCCACATTAATAAAAGAAAGGATAAGAACCACATGACAGATGCAGGAAAAGCATTTGACAAAGTATAGCATCATTTCTTGATAAAAACCCTCAACAAAGTACGGATAGAAAGAACATACCTCGGGACACCTGGGTGGCTCAGTCTGTTAAGCGTCTGCCTTCGGCTCGGGTCATGATCCCAGGGTCCTGGGATCGAGTCCCACATTGGGCTCCCTCCTCAGCAGAGAGCAGGTTTCTCCCTCTGCCTGCCGCTTTCCCTGCTTGTGCTGGCTCTCTCTCTCTGACAAATAAAATTTAAAAAAGAAAGGAAGAAAGAAAAAAGAACATACCTCAATATTGTAAAGACCATATACAAAAAGATCCACAGCTAATACCATCCTCAATGGGGACAAACTGAGAGCATTTCCCCTAAGGTCAGGAACACGACAGGGATGTCACCTCTCACCACTGCTGTTCAACACAGTACTGAAAGTCCTAGCCTCAGCAATCAGACAACAAAAAGAAATGAAAAGCATCCAAATTGGCAAGGAAGAAGTCAAACTGTAAGTCTTCACGGACCACATGAAACTCTAATGTAGGCACGTGATGTGATGAGCACTGGGTGTCATATGCAACTGATGAATTATTGAACACTACATCCGAAACTAATGATGTACTATGTGTTGGCTAATTGATTTTAAATTAAGAGTCTCCTCAAAAAAAAAAAAAAAAAAAAAGAAGAAGAAGAAGAAGAAAGAAAAAAGCCTCCACCAACACATGCTAGAACTGATACAGGAATTCAGCAAAGTCACAGGATATAAAATCAATACACAGAAGTCAGTTGTATTTCTATACACCAACAATGAAGCACCAGAAAGAGAAATCAAGGAATCGATCCCCTTTACAATTGCACCAAAAACCATAAGATACATAGGGATAAAACTAACCGACGAGGTAAAAAATCTGTACTCTGAGAACTATAGAACACTTAAGGAAGAAATTGAAAAAGACACAAAGAAATGGAAAAACATTCCATGCTCATGGATGGTAAGAACAGATATTGTTAAAAAGTAAAAGTCTGTACTACCCAAAGCAATCCACACATTCAATGCGATCCCTAATAGAATAACACCAGCAGTTTTCAGAGCCAGAACAATCAATTCTAAAAATTGTATGGAGCCAGAAAAGACCCCGAATAGCCAAAGGAATGTTGAAAAAGAAAGCCAAAGCTGAAGGCATCACAATTCCAGATTTCAAGCTCTATTACAAAGCTGTAATCATCAAGACAGTATGGTACTGGCAAGGAAACAGACACATAGATCAATGGAACAGCACAGAGAACCCAGAAATAGACCCTCAACTCTATGGTCAACTAATCTGCCACAAAGCGGGAAGGAATATCCAATGGAAAAATAAGACAGTCTCTTCAACAAATGGTGTTGGGAAAACTGGACAGCGACATGCTGAAGAAAGAAACTGGACCACTTTCTTACACCATACACAAAGATAAACTCAAAATGGATGAAAGACCTCAATGTGAGACAGGAAGCCATCAAAACCCTTGAGGAGAACACAGGCAGCAACTTCTTTGACCTTGGCCACAGTAACTTCTTGCTAGACATGTCTCTGGAGGCAGGGGAAACAAAAGCAAAAATGAACTCTTGGGGTTTCATCAGGATAAAAAGCTTCTGCACAGTGAAGAAAACAATCAACAAAACTAAAAGGTGACCTCCTGAATGGGAGAAGATATTAGCCAATGACATACTGGATAAAGGGCTGGTATCCAAGATCTATAAAGAACTTACCAAACTCAATACACAAAAGGAAAAAAAAATCCATTTAAGAAATGGGCAGAAGATATGAACAGACATTTCTCCAAAGAAGACAAAAAAAAAAAAAAAAAGGCTAACAGACACATGAAAAATGCTCAATATCACTCATCATACAAGTCGAAACCTCAATAAGATACCACCTCACACCTGTCAGAATGTCTAAAAGTAACAACTCAGGAAACGACAGATGTCGGCGAGGATGTGGAGAAAGGGAAACCCTCTTGTACTGTTGGTGGGAATGCAAACTGGTTCAGTCACTCTGGAAAACAGTATGGAGGTTCCTCAAAAAGATAAAAATAGAACTACCCTATAACCCAGGAATTTCACTACTAGGTATTTATCCAAAGGTACAAAAATAGTGATTCGTAGGGGCACATGCACCCCAATGTGGATAGTGCTGCTATAAACAATAGCCAAAATATGGAACGAGCCCAGAGATGTCCATCAACTGAAGAATGGATGAAGAAGATGTGATACACACACACACTCTCTCTCTCTCTCTCTCACACACACACACACACACACACACACACACTCTCTCTCTCTCACACACACACACACACACACACACACACACTGGAATATTATTCAGCCATCAGAAAGGATGAAATCTTGCCATTTGCAACAACGTGGATGGAACTAGAGGGTACTATGCTAAGCAAAATACGTCAGTCAGAGAAAGAAAAATACCACATGATTTGACTCATATGTGGAATTTAAGAAACAAAACAGATGAACACAGGGGAAGGGAAGGGAAAATAAGATAAAAACAGAGAGGGAGGCAAACCATAAGAGACTCAACTATAGGGAACAAACTGAGGGTTGCTGGAAGGGAGGTGGGTGGGGGGACGGAATAAATGGGTGATGGGCACTTGTTGCAATGAGCACTGGGTGTTATATGCAGGTGACGAATCACTAAATTCTACCCCCGAAAGTAATACCACACTCTGTGTTAACTAACTTGACTATAAATAAAATCTTGAAAGAAAAAAATAAAGAAAATAGTGGCCCCAAATCCCAGTTCTGTTGCTTAGTCACTGTGTCATCTTAGGGCAGTTACTTCACCCTCTCTGAACCTCAGTTGTCCCCTTTTTAAAGTGCAAACAAATTTACACAAACTTACTTCTGGGAAGCAAATACAATAATTTACGTAAAGAATCTACTACAGTGCCTGGCATGCAGTAAGCCCTCAATAAATGATGGCACTTATTATTACAATACCCACTGTGTAACGATGGGGAAATAGCCCTCTGTGAGCCTCGATTATCTCATTTTCTAAAAATCCAATACGATTCATGTGTGTCTTATTGGCACAGTGCTGGGAACACAGTAGGCATTCAATAAAATAAATGGCTACCAGTGTAGTATGGTATAATTACCATAGCCCTTGGTGACAGTCAAAATTGTATTCAAACGCTGGCTTCAAGCACTTGAGAAAGTTATTTAACCTCTCGGAGCCTCAGTATTCTTATTGGTCAAATGGAGATAATATTCCTCAAGTTGCCCAAGAGGCAGAGTTGCGAGAGCTGCAGATAATCTATGTCAAATGGCCTGGCACATAGGAGATACTCTGTACAGGAAGGTTGAATCCAGATTGCAGAGCCCTGAATCCCAGTCTTTTCACAAGCTGCTATAAAGCCTACTTGTAGGATACGTTCTCTTTTCTTGAGTGAGAATGAGATATAAGAAAGTCACTAGTTTAAGTGAGAGCTAGAATCAGTTTCACAGCTATAAAGAAGTTATTGTAAAGGAGAGAGACCTGTAGTAGAGAATGATGATGGGTATGATTTATTACATGCCTACTGTGTGCCAAGTACTCCCTAAGTAGTAATTCTAATCATCCCTCCGATTCTGCAAGGCAGTCATTACCATCACCATTTTTACAGTTAAGAACTGTAAAGTTCGGAGAGATTAAGTATCTTGCCAAGGTCACAGAGCCAGAAAGCAGCAGGGATGTCTGACTGCATAAGCCCAGGCTCTTTCAACTGTACAAAGAGGTCTATAAAGTAAGCACTCCCACCATAAAGATAAAGAAAACAGGCTGTGCTGGTTCTAATGGAACTGGAATGGAATGGCAAGCACAAATCAGAGAAGCTAGATAATTAGTAATAATTTATGGCACCTGTAGTATGTGCCACACTCTATACCAGAAATTTTTCATACACAGAATCTTCGCTAACCTTCCCAAGGTTGATAGGTGTTCTTACTCCTGTTGGACAGATAAGGAAACTGACGCTGAGAGAGTCAGCAGATATATCCATGGTTTCAGTGGTGGTAAGTGAAAGATATGTGATGGAGGCCATGCTGCCTCCAATTAAGGGACAATCAGGATGGCATTGGAATTGTTAACAAATCTATAAATCAGCATATTAGAATTTTACAGTCTATTATGGGCCTGGCTCAGCTTCGGGTTATCTGAAACCTAATAAACCTGTAAATCAGACTTAGGTTTTATCTCCATTTGTCTACACTTGAACACTAAGTAATGATTACTCTTACAGTCTTGTCTTCTTTATGATCGGTGTTAGTTAAGTGCTGTATTTTTCTAATTCCACCCACACCAACATGTTTCTAGAGACCAAAAATTGCTTAACCCACAAAACCTGGGTTCTGATTGGAACCTATTCCATGTCCCAGTCACAGAATTTTTTTCCATCGTGGGTTTTCTGATGTCAGACAAGATGAGATTTCCAACTGAAGGCCTTTTCACACTCACTGCATTCATAGGAGTTCTCTTCACTGTGACTTCGATGATGGTGAATAAGGTGAGATATCCGCACAAAGGCTTCATCACGTGTGGTTGCGCTCATAGGACTTTTCCCCATTATGGATATTCTAATGGTCATTAAGAGAAGATCTCCACCTTAATTTTCTTTTTCCACTTGGGCTACACAAATAGGGTTTTTCACCACTATAAACTCGGTTTTGTTCCATAAGGTATGAACTCTGGCCAAAAGCTTTTCCATATTCATTACGCTCAGATGGTATTTCTCTACTATGACTTTCCTGATGCTGAATAAGATGTGAGCTCCAAATAAATGCTATTCCACATACATTACACTTATAAGGCTTTCCTCACTATGAATTTCCTATTAAGAGATGACCTCTGACTGAAGGCTTTCTCATATTCATTACACTATAAGGTTTTTCCCCGTATGAGAGCTCTGACGTCTAATAAGATGGGAACTACTGCTGAAAGTTTATCACATTCATTGCATTCAGAAGGTTTCTCTCTATGCAGACCTTTCATGTGTCTTATACGCTCTGCATTGGGCTCAAAACTAGGATCGTATGAATCATAAAATGGGGCTTTATCACAAATAAGGATTTTCCTCTGATGACACAGAGTTTGCCCTCACATCAGAGCTCCTGTCACATTCAAACAATTCATAGTTCATCTCATTGTGGGGCTTAGCCCATCGGCCATTATTCTGAAACTGTAATCTCTGGAAGGCATGGGTGCCAGTCC